TTTCCTTGAGACCACCGTGGTACTGTGTGATGCAGCAGAAATGCTTTGTGCAAACTTCCCGTTTCTTCACAAAGAAGATCAACAAGATATGTACTCAAAGATTGAGATTTAATAACATAAATAATTAACTGCTTCATAAAGGATATTCTTAGTAAAAGAATGTCCCTTTTTGTTAAACTTTGAATGCATGACAGTGAAAAATAACAATGACTACGCTTGTACAGTTTGGTTCCACTGCCCTGTAACTCATGCTAAGGAATCAGAAGTTCTTCCCACCATTGCTTTTGTATCATCAGTGCAAATGTCAACAAAAGGGAAAATCAAATAACATCTTAGTGTTAGAAGACTACTTTGACTTAATGGACCCCCCTCACCCCCCCCCAAAAAAGTAGGGTCTTGAGGTACCCCACAGACCACACCTTGAGAACTGCTGCTCTAAAAGATCCCTTCTAAAATTAATAGCCTAAAACAGTCAATAAATAAAAGTGTAAAAGTATTATTGTTACTATTATATTAGCTGAGTAAATGAAGTAGAAAATGAGAAAGTACTTTCTAAACTGAAAAGCACTAGATAAATATAAATTAATATTATTATTGCCAATAGTAATTAGGGATGAGTTACAAACTAAATTTTACTAGTGTTAACTTGCATACCACAAAAAGATACGCATCAATGCAGTTAATCTAAAGGGACAGCTAGCTATTATAACACATAGAAGCTGTTCATTTATAATGCATCCTTTTCTTTATCCCTTTATATACCTCAGAAATATTTCACCTTGAATAATTAGCCATGTGAATGCCGAGTTTCTAAATTTAAAAAGTGTCTTTTAATAGTCTATTCTCCCTGCTATTAGCAGTGGAAGTAGTAATTTTGCTTTATAAATTATACTATTTTTCTGCCTTGTTTATGCCATTTCCTATGTTTAAAAACTTTTTTCCTCAGACTTGTTTTTATATTGAAGAGACATATGCATATTTATACACATAATTCAGAGCCTCTGTGTATAAGATTTTCTTGAAAATGTGATCAGTTATTTTATTAAGAAAATTATCAGCTTTCTTCTTTAAAGTCCTTCCTCTTTTACCTAATGTTTATGAAGATTGATACTGATTTTAAAAGTCACTTCCCCTAAATCTAAGAAAATCGTATTTATATCTGTCATTTCTTTTTTTCTGAGTAGAAGTGACTGGACAACCCCAAAATGCATCTTCTGGCAAGAGGAACTGGTGGTGGCCACTTGCTCTATTAGCTGCTCTTGCCTGTGGGAGTTTTTGGTTCTTTCATACTCCTGAGGTAAAAACCACCGCTGTTCAAGAGTTCCAGAACCAGATGAATCAACTTAAGAATAAGTACCATGGTCAAGATGAGAAGCTATGGAAAAGAAGCCAAACATTCCTGGAAAAACATCTTAATAGCTCCCATCCTCGGTCTCAGCCTGCTATCTTGCTGCTCACTGCTGCCCGAGATGCTGAAGAAGCACTTAGGTGTCTGAGTGAACAAATTGCTGATGCCTATTCTTCTTTCCATAGTGTTCGTGCTATCCGGATTAATGGGACAGGCAAAGCTACTCAAGACAGCGATACTGTCAAACTAGAGGTAGACCAGGAACTGAGCAATGGATTTAAGAATGGCCAGAATGCAGCTGTGGTACACCGCTTTGAGTCACTGCCTGCAGGCTCTACTTTGATATTCTACAAATATTGCGACCATGAAAACGCAGCCTTCAAAGATGTAGCCTTAGTCCTGACTGTCTTATTAGAGGAAGAGACACTTGGAACCAGCCTAGGCCTAAAGGAAATTGAAGAAAAAGTTAGAGATTTCCTCAAAGTCAAGTTCACCAATGCTAACACACCCAACTCCTACAATCGTATGGACCCAGACAAACTGAATGGCCTCTGGAGCCGTATTTCTCACTTAGTTCTGCCTGTGCAACCTGAAAATGCCCTAAAAAGGGGCATCTGCTTATAAGAAGTGAGAGAGGAGAAAAATCACGTCCCAAGTTCTGAGAATTTTTCACACTTTCTAACCAGAGACAGAATTCAGAGCTCTTTGAAAGAACTGGTTTCTTTTTAAAGGAAGTTAAGTTCTTACATAAACATGGAACATATTTTATTCAACCTAATTATCTGTGATATGAGAGAATCATTTCAGTTTCCATTGAGAGCTGTGTTAAAGGTATCGTAGGAGTGTATATTATATGCGGTTCCATAGAGAATCTGTTTTGATTCTGGGCTAAATTATTACAATTATGGTGTGACCAGTGAGAGGGATTTGTCTCCTTTCTTACAAACCTTCCTGGTTTTTTAACTTAGATTTCTCACAAGGTTTGTTGCGTTATTAGTAAGATTGCTCCCTAAATGTAACCATGCATTTTCCCGTTATGTTCCCTTTTATATCATTTAGGCATAAGTTCCTTACCTTCTGTTTATAGGAACAAAAGTAGTCAAAGGTCATCTAAATGTGTGTCTGGAATTTTTTTTCTTTTGTGTTTTGGAAGATGGAGAGAACAAGGCCAGGACGGAGAAATTAATGGGAAGGTGAAGGGAGGAAATGTTACAGTAATCCACTGAGATGTAGGTTAGGCAGACATAGGTATATGAACTGTTCATCTTGGTGGATTCCATTGGGATTTTTTTTTTTACACTTCCTTTTTTCTTCCTTAAAGAAAAATTCTTGGTCCTCCCAAGGATTTTTCATGTATATTGCAAGATTTAATATATTTGTTCATTTGACTCTTAAGTAAGTCAGGCTGGGCACAGTAATTATGCCTGTAATCCCAGCACTTTGGGAGGCTGAGGCGGGTGGATCACCTGAGATCAGGAGTTCAAGACCAGCCTGGCCAACATTGTGAAACCCCGTCTCTACTGAAAATACAAAAAAATTAGCTGGGCGTAGTGGCAGGTGCCTGTAATCCCAGCTGCTTGGGAGGCCGAGGCAGGAGAATCACTTGAACCTGAGAGGCGGAGATTGCAGTGAGCCAGGACCACGCCATTGCACTCCAACCTGGGCAACAACAATGAAATTCCGTCTCAAAAAAAAAAAAGAATAGGTAAATTCAGAACAGTTTATTTTGGACACATCCTGAAGCTTTTGATTTGAATTAAGAAATAGAGTTTCAGGAATTGACAAACCATTTGTTAACCAGCTATCATGGGCTGTTGAAGATTTTGTTTTTTGTGCATCCAGTTGTTGTGGTCTAAGTCCTTTAGTGCTACTCCGTAGCAAATACAAAGATTTACTATGCAGGTGATACATTTTATGGAATGCCTCAAACCAAGATAGTGAACTTATATGAAGAGTGAAATGTATTTCTTCACTAATAATAGTGTTTTAGTTATAACTTCGCATCTACAATTGAGCTTTCTCATCTGAACTGCTATGGTTTCCTTAAAATGTTACAATTCTAGATCTGTCTACCTTGTTTTTGTATTGTCCACAAACCTTTAAATGTAAATATTTAAATTAATGGCTTTGTCATTACCCTTTGATAGTTCCACAAGTTTTAGTAGAGTCTTCTGATTTCTTTCCACCAGTACAACCAATATTCATAAATGTATACCCATTACTGTAATTTGTTCCTGTTAGAAGTCAGACCATCTGATTTATTTTATAGAGGATTATCAAAACAGGAGTTTTTGAAAAGGCTTATTTTATACGTACATATTATATAGAGAAACAAATGTTTTTATTAAATGTTTCGCTGACCCAAGTAATTTAAAAGTAGTATGTTACCTATATCTTTCAGGAAGAATAATTACAGCAGCTGATCTGTAAATGACTTTAAAAGCTATTTTAGTAATTTAAATAAATTTACTTTCTTGGTTTGTACTCTCTTATGTGTTATAAACTTAATGATTTATCATCTTTAAAAAAAGAAATATGAGCTGGGCTCAGTGGCTCACGCCTGTAATCCCAGCACTTTAGGAAGCCACGGTGGGCAGATCACCTGAGGTCGGAAGTTCAAGACCAGCCTGACCAACATGGAGAAACCCCATCTCTACTAAAAATACAAAAAAAAAAAAAAAGCCGGGCATGGGGGTGCATGTCTGTAATCTCAGCTACTCAGGAGGCTGAGGCAGGAGAAACCCTTGAACCCGGGAAGTGGAGGTTGTGGTGAGCCGAGTGCACCACTGCACTCCAGCCTGGGCAACAAGAGTGAAACTCCGTCCCAATAAAGAAAAATAAGAAAAGAAAAGAAAAAGAAATCCAAGTTTTTTCCTTGAACTTTTAGCACCTTTGGCTAGAAGAGACAAAAGCCAAGGAATTGGAGCCATTCACTGTACATTATTTAGAAGTGGAACAGATGTAACTTTCCATGTTAGCTTGGCATTTAGGGTTTTTAAAAACACAGTTAATTTAAGTATTCCTGACTTGGCAAAAAATCTCCACAGCAGCTTTTCTTAATTTTTTTTTTTTTTTTTTTAAGTAGACATGGGATCTCACTATGTTGCCCAGGCTGCTTTTAAACTCCTGGCCTCAAGCAGTTCTGCGTAAGCCTCCTAAGTAGCTGGCTTCTTAAGCTTTTCTTTATCGCCTCCCTAAAGAGCTTTTTTAGATTTTTTTCAAGTTACCCCTTCCCCATGAAATTTAACACCACATATATACTATGTATCTGTTTATGGACTATAAATGTTTTCGTGCTTTATACAAAATAGAATTTTTTTCATCCCTAGTGAACCAATTTTCACCCAATTGAGAATGCATGCTCAACAGCATCCACATTTAGATAATTGCTGCCTAAAACACTCTGTTTTGTATTCATGTTATTGTAATCCTTTTAGAAGGGAAAATTTATTTATTTTTTATTTTTTTAAATTTATTTGAGATAGTCTCACTCTTGCCCAGGCTGGAGTACAGTGGCATGATCTTGGCTCACTGCAATCTCCGCCTCCTGGATTCAAGCGTTCTGTTGCCTCAGTCTTCCAAGTAGCTGGGATTACAGGTTCACACCACTATGCCTGGCTAATTTTTTGTATTTTTAGTAGAGACAGGGTTTCACCATGTTGGCCAGGCTGGCCTCCAACTCCTGACCTCAGGTTATTCACCCACCTCAGCCTCCCAAAGTGCTGGGATTACAGGCATGAACCGCTGAGTCCAGCCTAGAAAGGAAAATTTAAGACATCAGCTTCAAATTAAGAGCTATGGATCTAGAGAAACTGAGCATATTATAACTGGTTGACAGCCATGACCAAGGAAAACCACAGTACAGTACCTTCTTAAACTTTCTAGAAACTTAATTTGCTTCCCTTCTTTTAATGAGATTTTAATATTTAAGGATGTTTTCTAAACCTCTGATTCTCAAAAATTGGAAGTAAACGGATTTTCATTCAATGAAGAGAACTGCCATTTAGAAGTGATGGGGTTTACATATTTTGTACCGTTAGTTCATACCTAAGCTAAAAATAGAATAACCAGTTTCCCTGTGATCTCGAGTTTATGGAAAGCAGCCTTTCTGTTGGCAGTGACAACAAGTTCTCATTAAATACGTAAAGATAATGTACTCTTCTGCTGTTTTGTCCTTATCAAGATCGTGGAGTAGAATTTGCAGTGTAAGAGGATAGGGTTTTTCCCTAAGGAAGAGGATTTTTATTGGCACTAACCACCAAAGATGTGGTTCCTGAGCCTGGAAGACCAAACTGAGAAGGCTGCCATTGACTGGAAGAGGAGGAAATTCAGCCTTGCACTCTACACCACAGACTGAACTACTTGTGATTTCCTAAACATATCATTGCCTTGCCTTTTGCACATTCTTAGACTCTTGGACTACTTCCTCATTTCCTGCCCTCTGGCTTCTTTGTCCTTTAAGTCTTGGTTTTCTTAGGCTAGCTTCAGTGAAATCTTTCCTAATTCCCTTCCCCCAAATACCATTTTAGGCGCCTCTTGTTTTCTTCTTTCTTTTCTTCTTTTCTGGTAGCTTAAACAATAAGACCTTTATTGTTTTAAAACCCAGCAGCATGAGGAGTTCCTAGGTTGGGTGACTTAGAGGCTATAAAAATTCGTCACAAGCATTACAAGATAACCAGCAATACCGCTGATGAAAGAAAACCTCACGAGCAGCTAGCGGAAGCCAGCTCCTGTCCTCTTGTCCAAAGCTGGATAGTGTCCAGCCAAACCATTTTGAGGGTTGAATGAGTGACTTCAAAGGGCGCAAATGACTGGTGAATCTTCCAGATAAAGGGAGAGAGCACAGCCTTTCCTGCGTATTTTAAAGTGACAGGTGCTCCACGCACTGATTTATTACCCTGTCGCAGCATTAGCATACCCCAGCTACCGCATGCATCTTGCAAGCAGTGATGTGTCGTCAGTATAGGCACTGTGGTAATCACAGAGTGCTCAAATGTTTATTGAATAGAAAGAACAAGCTGTACCCGATTATAGCTAGGTAAGTTGCATCTTAGCATTTTATTTGCTTCCCCCACCTCTATCCCCCATTACTCCTAAGCCCTATCTAAAAGCTTTATGTGACTATTTCTTCTGGATTTAGCAATGCTACGAATAAGGAAAAACAAGACTAATCAACGCCGTGGAGGGGAAACTGGCACTTCTCTGGTAGAGACGGCGATCATCATGGTTCTTCAAGGGTAATGTGAATATCAAGGGAAAAGACTGAGAAGCCATGAGGTCTTTCCACAGTGATATTTGGCTTTTGCATTTTCTTAAAATAGCAAGTATCCTTCCATCTTTTTCTTTGCCTAGGAGGGTATTATAATTCAGATAAAAGATGGCTATGGATGTGGGAAAAAGATGGATAAGGAAAATATTGGAGAAGCAGAACTGACCAGATCTGATTGAATGTAAAAGTGCTGAAAAGCCGGGCGTGGTGGCTCAAGCCTGTAATCCCAGCACTTTGGGAGGCCGAGGCGGGTGGATCACGAGGTCAAGAGATCGAGACCATCCTGGTCAACATGGTGAAACCCCGTCCCTACTAAAAATACAAAAAATTAGCTGGGATTACAGGCACGCACCACCATGCCCAGCTAAT